AAAAATCAAATCTTTATTTTTATCATCAACAGCTTTATTTTAGTTTCTTTATTGAGTTGTAATTTGACCTCCGTCCAGCAGGGGGAGACATGTTGCCGTCTCTCCGCTCGTGCTGTGGTAAACTGCCGTAAGTGAGACAGTGTCGTTAACATCAGTTGCTCCGAGCAGCGGCTTCTTTCATCTTGTTTTTACACTTTTTACTTTTTTATGTTTGAACTGGACGTGAAGTTTACCAACATGACGTCATGTGTCCAGGTACTCGTCACTTCCGTCCTGGAGGAATTCACGACGAGCGCGAAAAGTGAAATTTGTCAAAGGCTCGTCATTACGTCACACACACAGGTGAGAGACTTTATTTGAAACACACAGGTGAGAGACTTTATTTGAAACACTGTGTGTGTGTGTGTGTGTGTGTGTGTGTGTGTGTGTGTGTGTGTGTGTGTGTGTGTTGCAGGACGAGCTGCAGCTCGTGTTGAGGACGTTGTGTGAGTCTTTGCTGAAGGAGCTGAAGCAGCTGCTGGACGCTGGTGAGAAACTCTAACTTCCTGTTTGTGATTCTGCCTCAACCTGTTAAACAATCTCTCTCTCTCTCTTTCTATCTTTCTCTGTCTCTGTTTATCTGTCTGTCTCTCTCCCTGTCTCTCTGTCTGTCTCTGTCTCTCCGTCTCACAGTCCAGCCTCTGCAGGACTCCTCCCTCCCTGCAGCAGCAGATGTGAACGATCAATCAGAGGCTCCTACAGATGATCCCAGTCAATCAGGCGTCTGCAGCAGCGTCTTCTCCAGACGGACCAACCTGGTGGCTCACCTGAGGGTTCAGGACAGAGACCGGCCCTTCACCTGCCCCGACTGTGGGAAAGGCTTCTCAGCCCGCGGCAGCGTCAGAGTGCACCAGCTGACCGTCCACAGTGGCCGGCGTTCGTTCACGTGCTCTCACTGCAGGAAGGTGTTCGGTACCCGCAGCCACCTGCGGACCCACCAGATGACCAGCAACGACACGCTCACATGTTCGGCCTGCGGTGAGACGCTGGTTGCGCGATGCAACCTCAGGCAACACCGACTGACCTGTCAGAGGTCAGACAGGACGTTCAGGTGTGCAGAGTGCGGGAAGGAGTTCTCCAAACTCTGTTACCTGTCTGTTCATCGGAGAGTCCACCTGAAGGACAAACCTTTTAAATGTCCCACCTGTGAGAAAGGTTTCACCACGCACCGCAGCGTGCACGTGCACCAGCTGACCGTGCACAGAGGACTGAAGCCGTTCACCTGCAGCGTCTGCGGGAAGACGTTCAGCCAGCAGAGCGGCCTCAGAGCTCACCTGAGGACGCACACAGGTGAGCGGCCTTACGCCTGCGAGCAGTGTGCGAACAGGTTCTCCAGCAGGAGCAGCCTGACAGTTCACCAGCGGGTCCACACCGGCGAGAAGGCGTTTAGCTGCGACACCTGTGGGAAGAGCTTCAGTTTCTCAGCCAACCTGCGCCGCCACTGCCTCGTCCACTCAGGCCTCCGGGCCTTCACCTGTGACGTGTGTGGCCGCAGCTTCACGCAGGCCGGACATCTGAAGGTGCACAGCGCTGTGCACAGCTCTGAGTGGGCATTCATCTGCAATGCCTGTGGGAAGGGCTTCAGACAACGCAGCGCACTGCTGCTACATGAAAAGAGCCACACCGGCATCAAACCGTACACCTGCAGCGAGTGTGGAAAAGGGTTTGCCTCATCAGTGTCGCTGAGACGGCACATGCTGATTCACAGCAGACAGAAAGCTCACATCTGCAGCGAGTGTGGGAAGAGCTTTACCAGCGCCCAGGTCCTGAAGAAACACATCCAGCTTCACGCCGGCACCAAACCCTTCTCCTGCGACGTGTGTGGCCGTGGCTACAGCTCCTCAAGCTACCTGAAGACGCACCGACGCAGTCACTCGGAGGGGAAACCGTTCAGCTGCGGCCAGTGTGAGAAAACCTTCTCCACGCAGGTGAGCGCCAACCTGCACCAGCGCACACACAGCGGTGAGAAACCGTTCGTTTGTGAGGTCTGCGGGAAAAACTTCAGTGTGTCACAGAACCTTGTGCGACACAAACGCATCCACATTGGTGAGAAACCGTTTGAGTGCAGCATCTGTGGAAAAAGATTCAGTCAAAAGAACAACCTGAAAACCCACCAGCTGATTCACTCTGGACAGAAACCATTTAGCTGCTCCAGCTGTAGCCGCAGCTTCACCACCAGGAGGAGCCACCGAGAGCACAAGTGTCCCAACCAGGTCTGAGTCCCGGGGCCTGTACTTTTCAGTGAGCCCTCACCAAAGTGACTCTACACTGTTGTGTGGTGCACACTCTCCTTAAAGGGAAGGATAAGGGAAGTTTAAATCTGACCTGCTGACCACAGTATGTGAGGACCCGGGACTGTGTGTCCTACACAGATGTCTGCAGTACGAGGGCCCCGCAGGGAACCGTCCTGGCTCCGTTGCTCTTCACCCTCTACAGACTTCTTCTACCCCTCACTCTCCTGACACCTGCAGAAGTTCTCTGATGACTCATCACTGATGAGGACGACAGGGAACACAGAGGACTGACGCAGGACTTTGTGGACTGGTGCCAGCGAAATTGTCTCCAGATCAATGAAGGGAGAACTGAAGGACTGGTGGTGGATTTCCGCAGGTGCAGACACCCCCCCCCCAACACTGGTGAGCTTCTAGGGAATGGACATAGAGTTACTGACCTCACATACTTATCAGTACCTGGGTGTTCACCTGAACAACAAACTGGACTATTCAAGAAGGGCCAGAGCAGACTGTATCTGCTCAGGAGACTGAGGTCTTTTGGACTGCAGGGGGCGCTCCTGAAGACCTTTTATGACTCTGTGGTGGCATCTGGCATCTCCTTGCACCACCGCAGCTGCACCACCACCGCAGCT